GGATAAACATTCCGGGGCTTCCTCGTGCGCAGATGAAAACAGTGACGATTTTCAAGCCACGAGACGCGGAATTCAGTAGGAAATCTTATTACGCTCGATAATCTTTCGGGGAATGCCAAGGACTGAGAAAACACTTGGAACTATTTTTCAGAGCAAATCAAACGGTTCAGTCTCTGTATAAGATATCCATGCTCCCGATTATTTTCTAGCGAAAACAGAGTGGTCATAAGGGTCACACGACCCTTTGACCTTTGACGGGCTGACCCATCAGCACTCGCGCTGTATGATTTTCTCAAAAATCGAGATTTTCGACTGAAACTTTTTGATTACCTCAAACAACTAGGGGAGGTTGGGGTAAAATGGACACTTTTGACTTTTTTTTTTATGTTAATGACGGGTTGAAATGTTGATAAAATGTCATAATTTTTTTGTCATTGCAAGAAGGGGAAGAATTATTCTTTCCCTTCGTGATGAGCCTAAACAGAGCTCAATTGATAAATTTGTTCCTGAATTATGAGTAATTAAAACAAAAGTCTAAAGTGTCCATTTTACCCCACTCTCCCCTATCCCTCTTTCCTCTGGGGTTCATAAAAACCGTCTAGCATGTTTCGATAAATTATAAAAAAATATTTAGTCAAGCTCGGACGAGAAGCGTGTGAGATTCTCCAACCGAAATTTGGTATTTCAATAAAGAGAGCAATTTCACAGAGAAAAAAATTTTTTTTTCAGCTAAATGTCACTCATTTTCAGGAATTTAAAGGGCATAAGTGTCTCGGGCACTTATGTCCTTCAAATACCTCGAAAAAATTCAGCATTGGTTCTAGAAAATATTTTTTCTTGAAAACAATTCAAAACTTAAGAACAGGAGTTTCTAAAATCTAGAAACTAGTTTCTAAAGCTAATCCACTTGTTTTCTCTGTGCAATTTTCAGTGATAAAAATCACTGATAATCAGGATCATTCTAGTCAGCATCCGGTGTCACCAATAATTGATGACAAATCCCTGAAAATCAATACTTTATTCTCTGTGAATATTCTCAACGAATTAACTAATTCCCCCAACTGAATTGTTCACAGAAATTCCCAGTGATATTCCGAGTAATTCAAGACTTTAGTTAACAAAGTATAAATTTATCACCAGCATTAATTCAGGTAGGCGGATACTTTTTCCCCGAAAAAAATTTCCCGGAAAAAATTTTCAAAAAAAAAATCCTCCAGAAAAAAATTTGTTGTGTACTTGTACTGTTTGTGTTGTGGTGAAAATAAAATCGGGAAATTTTTTATTGGGAAATTTTTTCCGAGAAATTTTTTCCGGGGAAAAAGATTCCTAGAATCATTAATTCAAAACACCTCTTCCTCCCAGTTACTCTACTAATTGCTCAAAAACTAGTGAACAATTGACCTCTGAAGACACTAACTCGTCGGTATCATAAACCCCGCAGACTCATCGCAGTTATAAATATCCCCTCCGAGAATATACCACAGAAATGCAAAGGAAGAAAAAAGTGAAGTTCAATGATAAAGAAACGTCGACCGAAGGTGACTGACATTGAACTTCTTCATGCAATTGACTTTGAATAACTGGCGCATTCAACTCCGCAGTTCATTTCTTCCGACAAAATTAACGGTACGCGTTACGTCATATTACCATTCCATTCTATTCTAAATTCGAAATTTGGATTTCACTCTTATCCAATCATTTTTCGTTGAGGACGAGAGACATTCCATTCAGAACTGAATTTGCGAATCAATCAATCAATTGATCTATTTTTTGATTGATTGATTCGCAAATCAAGTAATTTGAGTAATCAATCAAAAAATTGATCAATAAAAAAATTGATCAATTGATTGATTGATTACTCAAATTACTCAGACAATCGATATAACAATAAATTAACAGCTAATCAATTTTAAAATCAATAATTTTGTTTCGTATGACTCGTTTTGCTTCTACTATTCATTGTATTATTTATTATCTGCTGCTGATTTTTTGTTGAAAATTAAGTGGTATATTTTCAAATTGAATAACTCACCGCTCACTATCTCCTACACCTGTTAATAAACAGGTTTCACGATATTTGAGACGGTAATTGATACGTTCGATATCCTCGTGCTGCATAAAAACGCTCTACTGTCTGGGCATGCGAATTTCTATTTTTAGACGGAAAAATGTGCGCCAGTCACCAGTCGATGATCGATTCGTGAACCTCGATTGTGACGAGAGGATGATAGGCCACTTTTCATTGTTATTTCATTAGAGAGGCCAGATATTCGGAATGGAAATTTTAATAAAAATTTAGAGTTTTTTCCAGACATCTGCATAGTCACAAATTTTAAATAAAGTTAAATTTTCAGTCAGTCACTTGGTTAATGTTACTCAACAATTTTTTAATTATTAAATGAATCATCAATTGAATATTCAAATTGCGAATTGTTTTGTCAATCAATAATTGAGTTCTTTTATGACGCTTGGAATTACTTGCTCAATAGTCAATTGACAATTTCGTATTACCAATTATTTTATTTTTTTAATTTCAATGGAGATGAGTGAACCTTAATTATTTTAAGGTGCAATTTTCCTTGATATTAGTATTCCTTAGAGAGGCCAGATATTCGGAATGGAAATTTGAATAAAAATTTAGAGTTTTTTCCAGACATCTGCATAGTCACAAATTTTAAATAAAGTTAAATTTTCAGTCAGTCACTTGGTTAATGTTACTCAACAATTTTTTAATTATTAAATGAATCATCAATTGAATATTCAAATTGCGAATTGTTTTATCAATCAATAATTGAGTTCTTTTATGACGCTTGGAATTATTTGCTCAATAGTCAATTGACAATTTCATATTACCAATTATTTAATTTTTTTAATTTCAATGGAGATGAGTGAACCTGAATTATTTTAAGGTGCAATTTCTCTTAATATTAGTAATTCAATGATTTATACGAATCCCCGGTTTTCGCTTCTCGTAATTTCTAATATGGACACCCCTAGATTCGACTAAGGTGAACAAACCATTCTCAAATATTGTTATCATTGGCCCTATCACTGTGCCCAGTGGCTCCCCCCAGATAAACTATCGTCTGTGGTGGAACGAGGTCAGTTTGAGTCGAGCCTTGAAACAATTTCCATCGCAATACCATCTCTGGAATATCCATCAGTTGAAAAAACATTCCAACGAAATGATCCATCAAGTTCTCTATAAGCATATGAACACGGACTTCATGATGACGTCGAGAATGAGAACAAAATTAATTGCAAGTTGGAAGAATGAACAAATCATTGAGAAAAAAAAATTATGTTCCCTAGAAAACAATAAAAACAAAAAACAAAAAACAGAAGTAGAACCATATTTCCAACTTCAAGAAGAACGAGGCACATTTGGCTTCTCCATAACTCTCCACAGTCACGTGTCCGATAAAAAATAAAAAACGGTCATACAATAGTGATGAATAAGAATTATTCAAACGGATGACTCGAAACTCAGGTTTGAATGTTAACAGATCAAAACTCATGAGATAGTTGGCTGACAGCACCTGCATGACGTCTATCGGGAGAGCTGTTGCGACCTGACTGAATAGTTTTCGCTGAGATGTGACGGCTGTGTAATCATGGATTATAATGATCGTAATTTCACAGATTCAGCATTTATAGGGATCGAAGCTAGATAGGTCGCCAGTGAGGATGAGTAGCATGAGGGCCATTTTATTTCCAATGAAAATGTGATTCTGACATTTTTAACCTCATTACACCCCTCGCGACCCTTATTTTGACCCTATGACCCTGGGCCAGGGTTGCCAGATTTTTGCGATTTATAGCCAAAACCTGTACAATTTTAAATGGAGTGACGTCACGATCTGGTAACACTCTGGGCTGACCCTTATGGCCCTTATACTACCCTAATGACCCCTATGACTCTTAATTTTGGAGTCTCAATTTCGAGTACGAAATTTTTATCACCGAGTCGATTGGATTTTTATAATATAAAGAAATATCTCTGGGACAGTGCGAGAGTGGAATTTTGGGAATAAACACTCATGATCACTTTTTTTTCGATGAACCTGAAACTAGCGAAAGATTCGATAGCGGAGGATCTGTCTTAGGCAAATCTGGGGGTGTACAAATGTTTTTAAATAATGTACAAACTCTTTCGCACTTAAACAACGTTTGTACATATGATTATTTGACTCTCCTGCACTTAAGGATATCCAAGTATCTTTTACAGTTTGGTACAGAACACACTATAGATTCAACTATTTTCAATCATCAAATTTGTCAATCAAATTGCGTGAGAAAAATTTGAAAAAAATCATGAATATTCAGTTTCATTCAAATTTCATTTTGCACAGAATTATTATTTTTTAAACATTCGTTGTTTATATATAAAATAAATTAATAATAATTAATAAATTATTAATAATTAAAATTGTTTAAACTTTCGGAAACCTTCTTTTAGGCATGAAATCGATTTATAGTAAAATTCTGAATATGAATAAATTTGTTACGATTCTGAACAAATGATTTTTATGGTAGAAAATTGATTGTTTATAAATTATTTATAGAAAAGGCTCATAATTTTCAAAAATTGCAACTTTTTAATTATTTTATCAATCTTCCTCCAAAAGTAAACATTCTAAAATTTCTCCAGATTTTTATAATGTTTTCTAACAGTTCAATATCAAGATTCAAATTCAGACCTGCAAAGTTTAAATAATAAAATCTTTGTAAAATGTCCGGAAACTTAGGGTCAAATGGGGGTCAAATGAAAGCTGTGAGGCTCGACTACAAAAGTAGAAAAGCATTTCACTGGAGAAAAAATGGCCAAAGTACTTGGATATCCTTAAATATCCCCTAAATTGAATTTTCCGCCGACGAATATTCTGCTAGTTTCAGCTTCATTTTTTTTTCGTTGAAACACGCCTGGGGCTATGAGTACAACCAGTCAAATGGGACTTGAATAGAATCTAGTTAATTACTGTCTAGTTAATTTTACTCACCCCTGTGATAAATTCGGCTGCTGGGTGAGACTTTCATTGATCCAATCCAAATTATCCCTCCTGTTTTCATCGTTCTGCGATGTCTGTGGAGATTCTGAAATCCTTGGGGATGCATTCTCCTCCTGAAAGATAATTCTCCATCAACAGCTGTTCGCACATGATAATGAGGAGTCAATTTATACGAATCCCCAGTATTCGCTTCTTGTTTTTTTTGTCAATTTTTCCTGGAGTAATTGACATGTTTGGATCGAATGCGAAATAATTTCGATCAAGTATGAGGGAATGGGATTACCTCAGAATTCCCCCCAAGCGTGTCAGTCTTGTCAATTGTATCTTCGTTATTTTCGTCACGTAGATTATTGAGTGCATCTAGAATTCCCCCTCCAGTGTCAACTGGTACGTCTTGGACTGTGATATTGTCCCTCAGCTTGGTCTTGCTGAGCTGATGTTTTTGGAGGGGTCCATGCGTCCCCTCGGAGGCAACTATTATGAATAGAAGGCAACTGTGGACAGATAACAGGTTTGAATAATTTATTATTCAGTGAAAAAATTTTAAGGGAGGGTAGGGTAAAATGGACACTAGATTTTTTTTAAATTATTCATAACTTAGGAACAAATGTATCAATAGAGCTCAGTTTAGGCCCATCACAAAGGGAAAAATTGCTCTTTGTATTGAAAAAAAAATTATTAAATTTCATCAAGATTTCAACTCGTCACTAACATTTTTAAAAAACTCCAAAGTGTCCATTTTACCCCAACCTCCTCTAAGAGATTTTTTCTGACGAAATCCAAGAAAGAAGTGGAAGACTTGAATAAATAAAAATAAAAAATAAAATTAAACTATTGAAATTGAGAGAAAAACATCAGAATAACTAAAAATTCGAAGAATGATAATCATCCGGAAGTTTTAATTGAAATCAATGGTTTGAAAGAGGAAAAACTGAAAACTCTAATTCTCCAAGAATAAATTCTTCTATTCACCCCCTCCCACAAGGAAAACTGCAGTTGTAATTTCTAATTTTTCCCTAAAAAACAACTTCAACAAACATTTAAATCCCGAGTCTCCACTTCCCTTCGGTTTCCCCATATCCTCTCAGAATCAATAGAGAACGACCACGTCAGTCACACATCACAAAACCCCGGGGCTTCTCTAACCTCAAAATCCAAAATTCTTCATTCTCCGTGAAGCTGTATCCCAGCCCTACAGAAGCAAAAAAATCCCCAAAATCGGTAAAAAATAATGTTGATTCACCTTGACGCGACAGAGATGAGGAGAAGAGTCCAGTAAACGCGGGAGAGCTTCATCCTACCTCCAAATCGTCATGATAACCCTCAGCCCAACCTTCCTCACTTCACTATTCCATCAACTTCACAATCACAAATTTTACAAGCAAAAAAATTTTTTTTTAATGTTATAAATCCCGAGACGTTTCGCCGATCTTCCGAGTTTTCCCGTCACGATTTCGGGGATGAACCAGTCGCTGCTCCGCACGCCTGACGTGTTACTGAGTGAAAAAATAGGCCCCCGACGACTTTTTTTGCTGCGCTCGGCGGGAATTCAGATCGGAGCGAAATACCGCGGGGTTAATGTCATCATTAGCGGGTGGAGAATAGTTTCACTCGTGTTTTTCGGGGATTTGTATTGATGCAGGTGCAGATGTTGTCACTGTGCGCGGCATTTCGTCAGGGGAATGGTGGGATTTTTGTGGGTGGGGGCGGTTTATGGCCGGCGGAGGGGAGAGGAGAATCAGCTGATTGTTGCGGCTTGCGGGTGGGGAATGCTGGTGGGGTAATAGTGAGATTGTCTCTCTCTATCTCCGAGTGACCCCACTCTAACCAATCCCCATTCACATCCTTGTTGCCCACCTCTGGGGAGCGATTTTGCTCGTTTTATGTCGACATAAAATCGTAAATTTCAACCAATGACAGTCCTGGATTCCGAATACTCAACTAGGGTTGGTTGAAATTTATGAGTTTATGTCGACATAAAACGAGCAAAATCGCTCCCCGACCTGTCTGACTGGACCAGTTTTTTGTTCAACTTAGTGGGCCAGCTCTCGGGTCAATTTCAAGCTTTCATTTGCCCGAGTGGAAATTCTGTTCAGGTTTCGATCAGAAACTGATCAAGTTCGATCCGAAATTGTGATCAGGCATGTTACACCTCCACCTTATGTTTTTCCACTAGGGTTTCTCCACCTACCATCATTAGGCATTAATTAAATTTAATTTTTTGAGAGAAAAAATTAGTAATTTCCTAGCCGGGAATCGAACCCGGGACCTCCCAATGTCGCGTCCTCTTACCATCTGAGCTACCAGGACACTTATGAATTTCACTCTCAAATTGACTCATAGCCGAGTGGAAATTCTGTTCAGGTCTCGATCAGAAACTGATCAAGTTCGATCCGAAATTGTGATCAAGCATGTTACACCTCCACCTTATGTTTTTCCACTAGGGTGAGCCCAATTTGACCCCAAGTTTCCGGGCATTTTACAATGATTTTGTTATTTAGGGGAGGGTAGGGTAAAAGGGATACTTTGGACTTTTTTAAAATTATTCATAACTCAGAAACAAATGTATCAATAGAGCTCAGTTTACGCTCATCACAAAGGGAAAGAATTGTTCTTTGTATTGAAGAAAAAAAAATTGAATTTCACCAACATTTCAACCCGGCACTAACATTTTAAAAAATGTCAAGGTCGGAATTTGAATTTCGATATGGAGCCGTTAAAAAACATTTTAAAAATCGAAAAAAAAATAGAAAGTTTCCTTTGGGGGGAAGATTAATGAAATAATTGAAAAATGGCAATTTTTGAAAGTTACGAGCATTTTCTGTCAATAATTTATGAACAATCAATTTTCTACCATAAAAATCATTTATTCGGAATCGTAACGAATTTATTAATATTTCCAATTTTACCAGAAATCGATTTAATGCGTCAAAAAATCAGGTTTCCGAAAGTTTAAATAATTTCAATTATTTATTTATAAATAACGAATGTTTAAAAAAATGATAATTCCGTGCAAAATGTTTTTTAAGTGACGCTGAATATCGATGATTTTTTTCAAATTTTCCTCACGAAAATGTTTGAAAACGTCCAGAGTAAGAGAAAATAACGAGTCAAATAGCGTTGATTTTCCATTATTGAATCCCATGAAGTGAACATAAAGGGTCATAATTTAAAAAATCATCTCTCAAATATTTCTTTATTAACAAATAAAAACATGAAGTCCTTCCAGACGAAATTTTTCAATTCCCCATAAAAAACGTTTCACCATCGTAAGAGAATTTAAACAATAGCCAATCTCATTGGCACAATCAATAAATCTTCCCATAACGAACGATATTCACAATGAACCTAATGACTTAGTAATTAGTCTTATATTTTTTAATCTCCACCATGATGTGATGGATATTGGTGAGCTGTGCTCTCGCATTAGCAGGGAGAATCTTGTGCAATCGATTGTAGTACTGAACTAATTGCGTCATAGCTCTCTGCACAAGTGCAGCGCCCAGCACCAGATTTGGAAATGATTTTAAAACTTCACGGTTGATCTCCTCCAGCGAGCGTTTCCAGTTATTCGTAAATGACTGTACGAGATCGAGTGCTCGTGGCTCTGTTCGTTTAAGATCCTCTGTCAATCCTTTTTCCATCATGGCTTCGGATTCTTTGACTAGTTGAATTATACCCCCGAAATGGGGAGACAGTACTTCTTCCACATATTCGGAGGAACGAGAGTTTAACTGCTCACGAAAACTCTCGGCTTCTTTCGAATTGTCTCTCGTTCTTTCCTGGAAAATAATTTAATGAATGAGATTGTGATTTATCATTGAATTACAGTCAAGTAATAATCACATGCCAATTGTCGGAACAATCTAGTCAAAAGAGAGAATATTTTTTGAACAAGTGACAAATTTCTTTCGTCACAACATGGTCATAGGGCCGAGTGGGGCAAAATTAAACAGCCGAAAAATGACTACTTGACGCAATTCAAGCGAGAAAATTTGTTTTTTATCAACTTTTGTTCATCGACTTTTTTTATTATTGGGAGTACTGATGAGAATAATAATTTTCCATTTAGGTGAAGTAGAGGGTGGGCAGATGTCCGGAATTCCCCTCTCCTAGTGTTCTTGAAGTATCTTATATAATGACTCGACTGTATTTTATAAATTTCTTCATGAGTTTGTACTTCACCATGAGCACGCCGAGCACCAGATCGTAGTTATTGATGAGAAACACCAATTGCTGGGTTCTGTTTGTGAAAATGGCAGCCATACGAAGTAAATAGCATTGAACAGCTTCTCGGAGTTCAGCTAACAGTTGGGTTGCACCTTCGCAGGGAAATCCCTCACCAACGCCCACCATTGCGGCTGAAAATTCTGCATATCTCCTTGTGATCTGCATGAAAAAAAAAACTCAATACCTAATTCAGTAGCGAAGCGGTAAACCGGGTTAAGTCGGTTTTGACTTTTGGCCAGTTTTTTATGAATATCTCAGAATCTAAGAGAGATAGCAACATTTTTCTCATAACCCTTTTTATAACCCTCACTTGACTCTACAAAAAAGGTCATGACAAGAATTTTTCTATCTCTTTTAGATTCCGAGATAGTCGTCAAAAACTGGCCAATAGTCAAAATCGACTTGACCCGTTTTACCGCTTCGCTACTCAATTTTAAAGTCCAATCAACGAAAAAATCTTTAACCATTTCTCATAATTTCACATTTATTTCGAGAATCACTGATCAAATTTCGAACAAAAAAAATGTTTGAAATGTCCTATTAAAATCACTCGTTAACGAGGTAAGTTCAGAGTTATGAGGAATGAAAAATTTCAATTTTTGGACACTCACGTAATGTGGCCCTGTCTCTTTATGAAATTTCAATGGATCACAGTCCTTGACACTCTGTATATTCAATGTGAAAACAGTGTAAAATCTCGGCCATATGATGGATGTTAAATTGTCCCAGTATTTATCAAGTGCTGGTACAGCTCGTTTGTGACACGTCATCTGGTATCGCATCACCAAGTGGAGGCACAGAAAAAGGGCTATTGTGTCGTAGCAATCGTCGACGAAGGATTGGAGATTTTTTTGCATCAGGGTTAAAGTACTCCCCATCACCTACAACATGAATAAAATAAAGGTCAAATAATCTCTGGGGGTGTCTTCTTCCCTTGCAATTGTTGTTACCTGGTTGAAGATGTCCATGGCTTGTACTCCTCTCACTTTGAAAAATTCAGTCAGGAATAGGTATTCACGACAGGCATTGTCCACCAGAGCATATTGCTCGCTTCTGAACAGTGCTTCGTAGTGGTACTGCAGAACAAAAATTATTCATAATAATCATGAAGGGAGAAGTGTAAAACAGGGGGTGAGGACACCCCCTAAATGGACACTTTAGGCTTTTTGTCCACTGCAGACTTTGTTTTACGAAAAAAATCCAGTTTCAAAAACGAAAATAGGAATTCAAGAGGACAATGAACACTCACCCTAATTTTTGATGCAGTATGAGGAACAATAATTGGCTCTTCCAACTGTGCCCCCAATACTTCACCCCTCGTTCCAATCGAAAAAACAGTTCCCCTGTGTTTCAATGTTGTCTTATGAAATATTCCTCTCCCCACATTGTCCTCGACTCCCATCAGATCATCCTTCGATGGTTTCTCTTCGAACTAAAATCCATAAATTCGTATGAATCCCCGAAAATGTCGAGCCAAAAGTAAAAATTAAATTTTTAATAGTTGAAAAATGGTAAAATTCTTGGTATTTCGAAAATAGGTGGTGAGGGGAAAATGGACATTAGACTTTTCCTTCTTTTTCCTTGAATTGTAGACTCACAGACTGAGCTTAATTAAGCAGTTTATTTGTCTCAAGTGTCCATTTTGTCCCTCATTCCCCTAATCACCTGCAATTTCATGAGCCTCGATGAGTAGCTCTTGAAGTACGAGTAATAAATTTTACTCATCGTATCAACGTACTCCCCACAAATTTCTTCAGCGACATTTCTCTCATTAGCCAAAATAAATTCGAAGAAAAATTTGTACTTCAGCATGTTATTCTGGGGCACCTGATAGTTGGTCATTGGCTTCCGGAATTTGTATATTTGCTCCAGCAAATATGTTCGTATTTTAGCCATCGCTTTTATTTTCAACTTCTCAACAATATCTCTGACGTCGAGAGTGGATTTGGCTTCCTTGAAGCTTTGTTCCTTTATAAAATTGATTTTGTGATTGAGTGTCTGCAGATGAGTTGAAAAATCTTTGTCTGTCACTGGGCATTCCATGATACCCCTGGAAAGAAAGAAAACAACGTAAATCATGGAAAAAATGAAAAACAATAGTTACATACATGATTAAGGACTCAGATACGGTCATGTCCTCGATGAATTGACTCAATGGACCCCTGATTGACTGTCTATTGGACAACTGTTGACTCATAGCTATCGAACGTCTCTGCAAGTTCAATATCTCCGTGCTGATGCTCCCCAGATCCGTTTGAAATCCAATCAACATCGACTCCATTTTCTGATGCAGCAAAAATTCATTGTCTGAATGAAAAATTCATCTTGATTCCCCCAAAAGTACAATTACTAATTTTTTTTTAAATTTGTTGTACTCTGGTGCATTGTCTCGAGAGATTTGGTTCTGGAGTGACGAACCAATGAAGATAATGAGAATAAAAAAAAGAAAGGAAAAACGTTGTTTCTGGGTCAAACTTTATATCAAGAAATTCCTTTTCTGATTAAGGGAGGGTAGGGTAAAATGGACATTTTAGACTTTTTTAAAATTATTCATAACTCAAAAACAAATGTATCAATAGAGCTCAGTTTAGGCTCATCACAAAGGGAAAGAATTGCTCTTTGTATTGAAAAAAAAAATTATCAAATTTCATCAGCATTTCCACCCGTCACTAATATTTTAAAAAAGTCAAAAGTGTCGATTTTATCCCAACCTCCCCTGCACGTCATTTCATTATTTTTCATATCAAATTCTCATAGTAAAAAACTTTGTTGGAACGATTAATTTTTCTTTTTTTTCAATTGCATAAATAAAGCACAATTATGGTTTTTATTCACGAAATTAAATAATCGAATCAATTATCAACGAATCAGCTCCAAAAGTTTTAATTAATTTTCCAGCGGCGTAGGTGGGTGAAAAAATAATGTTGACGATATCCTGACAGAACTTTAATGAGAACATTTCCAACCTCCAAGATATTATCACAAGCAGCAATTTGATTGTGCAGACTAGCAATGTTCTGGCTCTCCTTGATGTAATCCTGAATGCTCTTGTTCTCCACCTCCTTCAGTTCCTTCTCAATCTGCCTAGAGTACTGGCGAAGATCAGTTCCAGTTCTGAGCACCTCCTGGACTACATCATCCTCAAGATCCGGAGGGAGTTGAAGCTCACTCTCGTCGAATATATCACTCTCCAGTTTATTAATCGTCTCCATTTCCAGGAATTACCGATTGATCAATAAAACCTTCACAAATTTCTCACTTTATTTCTAAATTGCTGGCAATTTGGGGGGAGGGGGGGTCGTTAGTGCAATGTCAGATGGACATAATCCGTTTTGGACACGTTCTAGGGAAAATGGGAACACTACGAGGGGCGGTGGAACGGTAATTCCGCTTGAAATGAGAATAATTCCGTCATCTCTCAAGCTGCCGCTGCACTAGAAAATTCGATTCCCCGGTAAAACAGTCCGATTATTTCCGACTGGGTGATAAAAAATGAATGGGCCCAACGGGGTGGGGGAGGGGGGCGTTGGTACTTCCACAACTGTACGCATCTAGGGCTGTCCACACAGATTTGTGAGAAATAATCTATAATCTCTGCAGAAACATCATTAACGCCGATTCATTTTTCATCACCCAGTCGGAAATAATCGTACTGTTTTACCAGGGTTGGTAAGACTTTTTCACTTTTTCAGAGGACATCTGCATTATCGACCCCTGTTTATTTAGCACCTTTACCGGTCTTGCTGGCGACTTTCAAGAAATTGTCCATCATCTTCTCTCTTCAGTCAAAAGCAGGATTATTCTTCATTCGATTGATAATTTAAAAAATGGATCGTTGGATACACCAGAGTCTGTCAGGACTCCTGGACTACCCAGTCACCGAGGAGATGATCCAGTGAGAGGACAATTCTACTGAATAATCCCCTCCGGCTGCTAATTAACCTCTTAAAATTTCACTATTGAATGTTTCAGGTACATCCTGACGATTGAGAACGAGAGGGATTTGGATGACTTCTTCAAGAATTTCTTGGACACCAGCAATCCCAAGCACAAAAACTTCATATTCGAACTCAAGAGGAGAAAGGGTAATGTTGAAAAAACATTAGACAACTGGGGAACGATAAAATGTTAGAAGGGATATTGAGGGAGGGGATTAAATTTGGAGATGTGCAAAAAGGTCTCTTGGGAAATAAGATATCAGTATTAATAAGATAACAGGATATCAAAACCCAACAGAACTTTTGTCTAGTTCTTGAGATTATCCCAATATGATGAACCCAATTGTTAGTCCTTCAAATTGTCCTTTTATTTCTCTTTATTTCATCAATTCTAGCCCATGAGAATCAGTTCACTGGCTACAGGAAGCCCAACGACAGTGACAGCCTCCCCCAGAAGTCCAAGGACAAGAAAAAATCAAAATCAAGGGAGAAGGAAGTCGTCGAGTCCCCCCAGGAGCCCTTAAAACCAGATAAACCAGATAAGAGACGAAAATTCGTCAATTTATATTCAGTCGAGGGTAACAAAGTTGCTGTTCTCCTGAAGGGACGAGTCAAGTGCGACTGCGAGGCAAAAATTCACACATTAATTAACAATTGCTTGTCCTGTGGGAGAATAGTTTGTACACAGGAGGGGGCAGGCCCCTGTTTCTTCTGTGGGGAGTTGGTTTGCACTCCCAATCAACAGGCTCTCTTGTTATCCAACTCCAAAGCCTCAGACAATCTTTATAATAAATTAATGGGGGATAACACTGGTAAAGCTGCGTTGAAGCAGAGGGACAAGCTTCTGGAGTACGACAGGAACAGCGCGAAAAGAACGCAGGTGAAATTTTTTAATTATGCATTATATTTAAGGCCAGGGTGTACTTTCGAACGTTATCTCGATGTTTTTTTTCACCTTTCGTCGTCTGAAATTGTCAATTAAGTCCTGCATCATGCAGAAGTTTTGAAAAATTATGAATGAATAATAGAAAAAAAGTAGAAAAAATTCTTAAACTTTTCTAAGAGCATTTTTAATTTATATTCAGAATAAGTTGAATAACAAGAAATTGAAAAATTTATCTGATTTACGGTGACAAATGGCGGCCTGTCACCCAATATCATGCAGGGGGAAGACTGATTTCGTAAATCTTTTCCCACACTGCACAGAGACATTTATTACGGAAAAGGCTCTTTGAAAAAAGTTGTGATATTTTGGAGAATTTTTTAATCACACTTTTATCACATANGTTGTAATATTTTGGAGAATTTTTTAATCACACTTTTATCACATAAAAATGGCAGATGACTACATACCACTGTTTTGAATATTGAGATACCTAGCTGTCACTTCCCATGAGACGTTAGTGTTTTATTATCCACCATGGAAAATTACAGCTAATAGATAATTTGCCACAGCGAATCAGACATTTGTAATTTCCACTTTTTTCAACTTATTCTGAATCTGAATTAAAAACGCTCTTTGAAAAAGTTGAGAATTTTTTTCTTTTTTTTTTATCATTCTATTGTAATTTTTGGGAATTTCTACACGATGTACCACTCAATTGACAATTTTGGATTACGAAAAATGAAAGAAATCCAGATAACATTCGAAAGATAGTACACCCGGGCCTTCAATGAATTCAAGAGCGAGGCGGTAAAACGGTTCAAGTCGATTTTAGCTGTTGGCCAGTTTTTAAAATAAATATCTCGGAATTTAAAGGAAAGCCAATTTCTTGTCGTATCTCCAATTCGCTCTATAAGACATTTTGTCTTCACAAAAATTTCGTTGATTAACAGGTAATTGATGACGAGTCGGACTACTACCAGTCCAGCAATAGTGTGTGGTTGTCCAAAGAGGAGAGAGCACAGATGGAAAAGAGAGAGGCTGAGATGAGGGAGAAAAAGTATGGATCTCGCTTAGAGAAGAAGTTCACAGTGGATATCTTTGGGAGGCAAGTCGTTGAGGAGGAGGACGATGCTGAGGATATCTTCAAGAGACAGCTGGAGGTCCTGGAGAACACTGCAAGAATGGCTGGGGGAGGGGAAGAGCTGATCTGTCCGAATTTCGAGTTCGATCGGCCAGTGGTAAATGTCCCCATTCATTTATTCGTCGTCCAGACTGATTCTCAATTGTTCTGCAGCTGTTAATAATCATTTATCCGTGATTTCAGTACATAAAGGGGAATTTGTCGAAGAGCCTTTCCTCGAAAAAGTCAGCGGAATCGACGATTCATCGAGTCCAGGATAAAGAGCTCCTGGAGATGGTGGACGAAGGCCTCTGTCTGTCGATGCATCAACCCTGGGCTTCTCTCCTCATCGCTGGGATAAAGAGACACGAGGGGAGGACATGGTATTCTTCTCATCGAGGCAGATTATGGATTCATGCCGCCTCCAAGACCCCCTCTACCGAAGAAATCTCCGGCCTTGAGCATCGGTACAGAGTTCTAGTCGATGAAAACATCAAATTCCCCCAGAATTACCCCACGAAAGTCCTCCTGGGGTACGTCACAGTCCTCGATGTCCTCCCTCAGACCGAATATCGCAAGGTTTATCCTGAAGGGGAGTCAGACAGCCCCTACGTCTTCATCTGCGATGATTTTCATGAATTACCGGTTAAATTTCCCATGCAGGGAAAAATGAAAATTTATAAATTGGATAAGAAAATTCATCAGGCTGCGGTGAAGTGTGTAGAGCGTTTTTCCAAGGTGAATACATGATAATTATTAACTTAAGCGCATTGAGAGGATTGAGAGAAGATGAAGTTTGGAGATCTAAAAAAAATCTCTTCAAAAATAAATTACAAATGATTTTTCCAGAGTCTCGATTAATTATCACTAGTCTTCATACAAATTTATTAATTCTCTTTACAACAGCCTCTTACATTCCCTCCTAACATACCCTTACATAAATGGAGTCTACACGTAGATTGAAAAAATATCAACATTCTTAGTTAGTTCATATGTTTATAATCTTCAAAACGATTGATTTAAATATTCTTTTATAGCTCATTGAAGCTTCAACTAATGTAAATATCATATTACGTATTAATACAATGTCATCTCGTCATTTATCTAGACATTTCAAGGTGCGCATTATCGTTTTATAAATTCAACACCAGAAGTCAATGGACCAAATCATCAATTCCCATTCAGTGAATTGATGATTTTATTCATTTCACTTCAGTGCAGAATTTCGTGAATAAATATTGTTTCTTAATAAGTCCCACATTGTTGAACGATTAAACCAATATTATGTTTGTGCTTAAACTCAACTACTTGCTTATCATCTATGGGAGACTCTGTTACTAATTATATCTCATAAAACAAAGTTCATATTTTGTTTCAAACAAAAATCGAACGTCTAAAATTCTATTCACGGTGGGTTAATAATTCAAAAGCTTTCATATTTTCAATGTAAAAAGTAGAAATCTAATACTATTCCCGTGTTTTTAAATAACGTACTTATATTAAATATTAATTAAAGTAATATTGCACAGGAAAAATCATAAATAACAGAGGAGAGAAAAAAAAATCTTATAATGGAGAAGAAATTAGGAATGTGAGGGCACAAACGTCTGTGGGCGATTTCAGTAATATTAATTTACGTTTATATTTAACAGACATATATTGTAACTCATAAGCTCCATAATTATCTCCTCTTTCAGGATAAACTCGTCAATTTTTATTGAATTCTGCATTGAAGTGGAAAAACGTGATTAAAAAATTTGAAAATTTCTTTGGAATAGGTTTAGGGGAAAATGTCAATAGATTTTTTGTAGCTGATAATCACATCTTCAACTGAATGAGTGAAACTGGTTCATCGTTTCATTACTTCAAAGCAGAATTTCGTTTTATAACACTTTGGATACGCAATTTTCTCTCAGCCAATGAACAATGGTTCACCGATGAAATATAATTTTCAGATTGTCTAAATTTCACAAGTATCAAACAATTAGGCAATCAATAATGCTGTCAATGAGTGATTTCAGTGGGGAAATGGTAAAATGAAAAGAGTCGACTCGAATTCCCCTCTAGTTTTTGGAAAATATCTTCAAAACTGAGAAAAATATCAAAACGTTTGCAAAGTTATTTCCCGTAGTTTCGAAAATCCTCTGAAAAAATGGATCTCAAAAAATCCCTTATTTTCCTTCCTTCAATCCCACGAAAATCTTGAAAAATTAAACCAACTAATGTCATTTACCCCTTCACCACTGATTCCCCTCTGAATACTGTGCTTACTCCCTCCAATTGATATTAATATCGAACACAGTTGCCGCTAGGCCACGGGGAATCCCCACAACTCCCGCAGAAAATCTCCGATTGGGCCTAGAACTCAAAAACTCAGAACCCTCGAAAAAAAAAAAGACAAAGAAAAGAAAACACTTGAAACTCCTCAATCCCTCGCGGCCCTCAACTAAATATAGGTCGGCGAGTCCTTGAGACTCGTGAAACAAGCCTCGCACTTATCTGCATCCTTCTCATTCACCAGAGTGCACTTGGGGCACTCCTTTCCCCCACTAGCCAAAGGTTTGTCCTCATTTCCCTTCCTCCTGCTCTTATTACACATCTCACAGATGTCCCTGTCCGCAGAATTCAAATAAGTGCAAGTAGAACAGTCCCACTTGTCGTCCCTGCCCTTCCTCTCCTCCTTGGAGCCAATCGTCAGGTTCTTCACTGACTCCACAACCTTCTGGTAGTTCTTCGGCTGTCCCTGACTGAATTTCCTGATCTTCTCCTGAATGCTCATCCTCTCCTCACTCTGTCCCGAGCTGTCCCTCAAATCCAGATCCAGCAAATCCACACTTCCTTTTTTCTTGAAGCAATTGTCCTCACTGAACCCCTTGGAGAACCTCTTCTTGTCCTTGGAGGTCTTCTCCTCAGTCTCAAAACTCGAGTGTTTCTCTCGTTTTATCTTCTCTCGCTTCTTAAGGATGTCCTCCCTCTCCCCCACGTCCTTGGAGTACCGCACATTGTCCAGAGACCTGTAGACATAGTCCCAGGAGTCGTTGGGGGCTGAGTCGAGGCTCGTCGACGTCTTCATGGGCCTTCGCTCGACTCTCGAGTAGTCGTCCTCGGGATTTCGTCTCGAGTGATCGATCTCCTCTTCTCGATGAGACTTGCGGTAGATCGGCTTATCAAAATTGACGACTGACAGCGGAGGCTCAATCTCTATTAGTCTCTCGGTGGGCAGACGTGTCGCGTAGAGGGGATTGTAGTATGGCTCAGCTGGGAGACCTCCGTAGAACCTGTTCGGGGCCTGGGGGAGACAGTACGGCTGGAAGTACCTGTAGTTCTCCTCAGGATAGCAGTAATCAGGCTTGATGGTAACAGGGCCATTAAAATTATTCGGTATAATGTGATAAGGAACGGTAGTTGGAGGCACCTGATCGAGAATCGTCTGATGATGATAATCCCTGTAAACATCAGCCTTGGATCTATTCTGATGCAATCGTTCGTAGAACCTGTGAGTGAGTGCCCTGATGGCAGTGTCAGGTGTGCCCACCTGATTCTCCCTGAACTCCAAGACCTCAAGCCACGAGATTTTAAAGTTCTTGGAGATGGCCTCCCATATTTGCTTGAGTATCTGGCACTCGACGAAGGCGACGATTGCGTCTCGGCTCACTGAGGAGACCCTGTCTGGATCGATGGGCCCCTCCAGGGTCAGGGTCCCCAGGCCTGTGTGCTTGTAACCCATCAGTTCGAACATCAACTCGGCGCCGATTAAATTCGCTTCGATCTCGTGCTTGTAGTAGCCGGAGTACGTGCGCAGGGTTCGGTACTCTTTTCGCCAGGGCTGGGCTAGGAGATTCGAGGCGTACATGGAAATTGCACTCCAGGCCTCGCAGGCTCGGTAACCACTGAAGTCGTTGAGGGTTGAGGCTGATCGGTGGAGAATGTGGGCTGTCTCTTGGAATACGTATTTGCTCTCGTTGGGGACGAGGCAGAGGTACTCCTTGATGAATCCTGGGGGGGGGAGAGAGAGAGAGAGAGAGAATGATATTGATATTGCCTCCCCTGGTAAGACAGTCCGATTATTTCAGACTTGGTGATGAAAAATGAATTGACGTTAATGATGTTTCTGTCTTTGCCTGTTAAATTCCGATTGGCTGCTAGGTAGAGTTTGGAGTTTGAGAAAATTATGAGAATTAGTGGGAACAAGGGTATGTGGCCGTTATCGTCCGATTACTTTCCAAGAAAGTGGTTGATAGATCTCATATTACGCATATGAATATTTAAATGAGCAATAAATATTAACGATTTATATGAGCAATATGAGATCTATCAACCACTTTTTTGGAAAGTAATCGGATGATAACGGCCACAGACCCTTGATCGTATTAATTCTCATAATTTTATTAAACTCCAAACTCTACCTACCAGTCAATCGGAATCTAACGGGCAAAGACAGAAACATCATTAACGCCGATCCATTTTTTATCACCCAGTCGGAAATAATCGGACTACCAGGGTCCTGAACCGAATCAAGTTAATATTTTGTCATTCCGTGTTTTCAAATTACATAATTTAATTGGTGTAATATTGATGAAGCTGAAACTAGCGAAAGATTCGACAGCAGATGATTTGTCATAGGCGAATCTAGAGGTGCACGAATGCTTTTAGGGGAGGGTGGGGTAAAATGGAGACTTTAGACTTTTTTAAATTGTTCAAAACTCAGAAACAAATTTATCAATTGAGCTCAGTTTAGGCTCGTCACAAAAGGAAAGAATTGTTCTTTGTATTGAAAACAAAATTATTAAATTTCATCAACATTAACATTTAAAAAACCCTCATTAACATTTTAAAAAAAGTTAAAAGTGTCCGTTTTACCCCAACCTCCCCTAAATTGAATTTTCCGCTGACGAATATTCTGCTAGTTTCAGCTTCATGTAATATTGTAAAGGAAATGTGTCTTCAGATCTCTGGAGAATTCACCAACTCACCCTCCAACTTCAGCCTCTTTTGAATCTTCGAGGGGCTGTCGTCAGTCTGCAAATAAGTCAAATGACTCTTGTGTATCTTGATGTTGATCTCCTGGAGCCTATCCATACCCCTGCCGATAGCATCCAGTGCCATGACCCAATGATCAACTGAAAAAATCATAAAATTCGTTTAAAAAATCGAACAAACCTCTCCATCAGCCAAAAAATCAAGAGTTCTTGAAGAAAAATCCGATAAATTAGCCAGAAACCGAAAAAAGCAATTGACGAGCAGCAACAATGACCTCAACTTGACAAAAATGTCCTGAAAATCGATAACAACATGGTCGTCTAATCAAGCCCCTGATAATGATCCCCTCATCAACTAAATTAATTTTCCACACGTAAATAAACCGATAACACGTTAGAAAGTGGGCGTTAATCCCGATATTTCAACAATTCCCTCGATATTTACGTACCTCCCTGATAAACCACTCTGAAATCACTCGGTTTCCTGCAACAGTTCGTCTCGTCCTAAAAATAAATTCTAAATTTAGAAAATCAGAATTTTCACCTGCACCAGAACCAGCGATTATTCCTCACCAATTTCCAATGATTCGACTTTATCTCTCACATTTTGTAATTCCATTTTATTATTCAACACTGGGGGGATCGTTCTGGGGAGATATTGAGGGGGTAAACATTTGTCCGAGGGACTGTAAACAAATTTTTGCAGTTTGCAATATCTGATCGATGAGAAATTTTTCGGAGAGCCGTTGAGGTTAGGTTTGAGCGATTCTGATTCGTGGATTTAGTGAGGTGGGGGCACAAGGTGCCTGACAAAACTCACAACAAACTGATCAGATCCGATCAATTAACCCCTCATGTATAGATATTCCAAATTTTTATTTTTTTCCTCATTGAAGTAGTTTTGAAGAAAATTGCGAGCTAATAAAAAACATTGGCTAGTTAGTACTTTTTTTAAAATAAATTTTTGGAAAATCACCTCTGAAAAAAAGGCGTTATCCCCTCTATTTCATTATTTCCAACAAATTTTATCACCAATCGATAGCAAATTGTTTGAAGATTTTTGAGAGTTAAGAAAAAATCGTCAATGCAATCCTATTATTGTGTAAATTAACAATTCCAATTTCAACTGAAAACCAGAGTTGATGACCAGAGTTTGTAACAGAGGTGTCAGACAAGTTATGAATGTTTTTTTTGGCTCAAATGGAAGAGCGGCTCGAAAAATGACGTGCAGAAGTCTTTAAAGATGACAAATGTCTCTAAAGATGATGTCTGTTTTCAATTGAAAAGCGCAATTGTGACAACATTGTCCAGTGGGGTCTAGGAGTCTCCCCTGGTTCAAAACCATCTTTAGAGGCCCTAGCACGCCATTTCTCGACCCGCTCTTTC